ACAGAACTTAAGTAGGGAGTGGAGGAAGGAAAGGGAGAGAGAGAGAGAAAGGGAGAGAGAGATGCAGAGAGGGAAAGGGAAGAGGAAAAAGAGGGAGAAGTAGGCAGAGTTTTACTTTTTTTTAAATTTTTCGAGACAGGGTTTCTCAGTGGCTTTGGAGCTTGTCCTGGAACTAGCTCTTGTAGACCAGGCTGGCCTTGAACTCCCAGAGACCACCGGTGCCTGGCAGAGTTTTGCCTTTTAAAGAGACAGGGTACTTCCTGCCCTGCACTCAGGTTTGACATAGGACATGACACACTGTCAGGTCCTCAAGGGGCACAGCCAGGTTCCTCTGGATGCTAACACACAGGACTTTGAATGACCTTCTGACCTTGGACATGGCTTTAAAATTGGTCCAGAATTGTATTTGGTGTGGAGCAAAGAGGAAAAGCTTTGGAAAACGCTGCTGGGCCTGAGAAGATCAAGTATTCCTGTTGTGAAGAACTGATAATACTTCCTCATTCTCAAAATGGAAATGGCCCCTTAGCCTTAGTGTTTGAACAGACGTAGTACAGGAAGAACAGGTGGATAGGAGCTGGCTTACGTCTTTGTTCACTGGTCTGGTGATGGAGAAAGAATAGATGTTATTTTGACTGATGGGAAGAATTCAAAGGCCCCTAGAGGCAACAAAGAGGGTGAGTGGTGTGTTCATGTATGTGTGGGGGGGATGCGTGTGTGAGCATGCCCATGTGTGTCCACCTGTTCAGGTGAGTGTGGAGGCCTGAGGTTAAAGTCAGGTGTCTTTTTCCAGTCTCCTCACCTTGTTTTTTTTTTTTTTTTTTTTTTTTGAGAGAGTCTCTCACTGAACTGAACATAGAGCTCACTGATTGTATCAACTAGGCAGCCAGTAAGCCTTAGGAACCCACCTGTTTCTGCCCCCCAAAGACCAAGTTTACAGACATGTACAACCACATTCAGCTTTTACATGAGTGTTGGGGAATCCTAGTAGCATCCCTGTAGGACAGGGACTTTATCAACTGTCTCCCCAGTCCCACAGTGATGTTTCTGATGTGAGGACCCCACCTGGCATGTGATCTCGCGATCCTGCATCTGACCCAAAGCACAGTTGTGATGGTGGAGGTTTTTACGCCCATTGCCTCATCCGTTCACACGGAAACTCATACCCAGCACCTCGCTGCTGACATCTGTCCCCGCTGGACCAGTTTCCTGTTCCACTCTGCCACTCAATCCAGAGTTCATCACCCTGCAAACCATTGCTATTGAAAAGAGCAGAGAGGTGTTCGTTCAGTAGATTTCCCACTGTTGTCTCTGGAATCAGGACAACACAACCATTTACAAGTGACTCACTTCCTTATGGGCTGGGAGAAAATGTTTTCACTCCAGAGCCTGGGCCTAGCGCTGGGCGGAGTCCCTCAGCAGCAGCCCTGAGGTCTCTGTAGTGAGAAAGGTGAAGCCCCTGAGGCTCTGAGTGAAAAGGGACCAGGAACTCAGTGCCTGCAAATAGGCAGGAGGCAAGTGAAGCATGAGTCATCCCTTCAGATGATCCCACAAGCAGACCTGGAGGATCACCACTGCCCCCAGTGTCGCCAGGGGCCAGGACAATTGAACTGGTGGCACAGAAGGAACTGGGCACATAAAATATGCAGAATTAACAGTCTGTCGTCTGTAGCAAAGTTTATTCTGTGTGTACTTCAGGCCAGTGAACTGAGATTTATTCTTCCTAGTCATGGTTTCCTTTGTGATCATTTTTCTCTCAAAAGGAAATAGAAAATTAAAAAAAAAAAACAACCTCAGGGCAGTTAACCTCAAATAAATTAATGTGTGGCATGAAAATCAGACACTTGGTTAGGAGTGTGTGCTCTGGAAGGGGAGTCGCAAGCTATAGTATATAAGTCAGTGTTATTTGAAAATGACTGGTAAGGTACTGAAAGGGTAAAAACGTATAACATTCTTAACTTTTAAGTTTTAAAAGACACGAGTGAAATAACACACAAGCCCGAACTTTAGCCCCAAACAGCTATACCTGTGGCGCTTTACAGACAGGGCCGGAGGGAAGGCGTAGTGGGCTCTTGGTGGGCAGGCATGGTGACAGCAGGTGTTTGAGGTCAGATCCTAGCACCCACGTAAAAAGCCAGTGTGACTGCTTATGTCTGTAACCTCAGCCCTGTGCAGGTAGAGTCTGGATCAGTGGGGACTGCTGGCCGCCAGCCTGGCTCCAGTTTCGGTGAGAGACTCTGTCTCAGAGAAATAAGACAGAGAGTGATATAGCAGGGCACTAAATGTACTTCTCGCACAGACCCATGCACACGCATGTGTGTACACATATATACACACACAAGCCTTACAAACAGTAACCCATAAAGCAGGAGTTTGCTTCTTACAGGCTACTGAGTGTTGTTGACTCTCGCTAGTTCCCATACAATGTGTGCTTCTCAAAGAGGTAACTGTATAAACTGAGGACATGTCAGCTCCAAGGTATGGTTGAGGGGAAGGTTTGTCTTGCAAATATGAGAGAGAGATAACGAGAGCTGTCTGGAAGTGTCCAGGGCAGGGAGAGGAAGCAGCAGACGGAACGTTGCCAGCAGAAAGGACTTGGTCGTGAGAAGAGCAAGAGAGTAAGGCAAAGAGAATGAGGGCAAATGAGACCAAGGAAGGAGGGGGCCCAGAGAATGCACAGCCAAAATAGTCAGGTTATACAGGAGCGAGAAGCCGGGAAAGGGAGCCCATGAGATGGAGATGTTTAGGGAAGGGAATGGAGTGAAAAAAGCTGAGAAGAGCCAGGGGGATAAGACCACTACCATAATTTAAAACCAAATTTGAAGCAAGCTTTAATTAGATAATGGTCATGTTGATGGACTTTCTGGCCAGGTCTGTCTCTGTGTTTCCAGAAAGTGGCCCCAAGTCACGGTTTGCAGGGGCTTAAAAAGGCAAAACCCATAATTCGCCACATTTCCCATGGGGTCCAATCAGCAGCAAGCATACATCCTGACGCATTTCCTGCCTGTGAGCCTCCCGCTGGCATTGGTCAAGTGCAGTGGGTACAGACATTGGGTACAGAAGGGTCAAATGGGCTTGTTTAGGAGAGTGAGAACCTGTGGGTTGTTACCTCCCGTAAACCACAGCCTCCAGTGTCAGGAATCATCTGTCTTTGAGCAAGGGACTTGTGGGTTAGGGGCATTTTTGTTTTATGGATCTCTTAGGCACAGTAATTACAACTTAAGAGTGTAACTTTGGTTCTCACAGATGCCAGCATGGACTCATGTTGTCTTTATCTGAGTTACTCAATTTACCAATTAAGACTCGGGAATCAGATACTGGGGTCAAGAAGCAACCAACTGACCTTCCTTTTTGGTCAGAGACCTCGACACCCCACTCTCACCCACCCCGGTCCCCCCCCCCCCCCCCCCCCCCCCCGCAAGAGGTATCCTCCTCCTCTTAGTCCCACCTACTCCACCCCCTCTATCTGTATTCTTGAGTCCTCTACATTCCCTATGCTAATTCTTGTCAGCTAGTCGCTGGCTCCGCCCCCAGACTCAAGGTTAATTTTATTAACCCAGTCTCAGTGTGATCAAATATCCCACAGCAGACTCAGTAACAGAGACTTGTGATACTGGAAGAGCCTGGTGGCGAGCCTGTGTGGGGGATGCTAATATCAGCGCAGATGACCGTTTGTGCCGAGTTCCTTTCAGGCCCGACAGTCAGGACGATTTTAAGAGAGCAGACAATGTTTGGAGTAAACAAGTCTCTCTGAAGCCAACATTTTTACATGTTGCGTTGATTTCACTCCTTCCTCTGAGAACTGGTTCATAATAGGTCATAATTTAAGTGAATTGCTCAGAGGAAATAATAGAGATACGCTAAATAAAAGCTCTAACTCACAGCAATTTATTTATTCGCTGAGCGTTGGGTGACTCATGTATTATCTGGGAAAACAAATGGATCAACAGAAATAATTTGCCTTTTTAACACCTAAGAAGACAAGTGCCTCTGGGATGGTGTGTGTGTGAGTGTGTGTGTGTGTGTGTGAGAGAGAGAGAGAGAGAGAGAGAGAGAGAGAGAGAGAGAGCGCGCGCTGTTGCTTTAGGTCATTTTCCCAGCCTCGTTTTTCTCAATGATAAAACACTACACAGGGAATTTTTACATAAGGTGATGTATAAGAAAACGGCTTCAAAATGCATTTGCACTAGAACATACTGGGCTGAGCCTTGGCTTGGCTTTTCTGCGTTAAAAGCCGGCTCCATGGATAAATGACAGACAGAGGAAGCCTTGTAACCCACTAAGTGTGTCCACTCCAGGTCGTCAGAAGGGCTGACTGGGCAGCTGTTCTGCCATATCGCATGAAGGACTGACTTGACCCCCTCCCTGTCTTAATGTAAATAATTTAGCTTGCTAACACATAGTCCACCCTGCTTTTCATTTCCTTTGAATTTTAGAAACACTGGCTCTCACTTCACGGATGCTAGTTTTTGTGTCTGGACTGTTTTAAGTTCTCAAGATCTTAAGGACTGTATCGAGCCAGGTGGAAGGAGAGTGAGGAAGCATGGGAAAGGGGGTCAGACCAAGTTTTCTTTTTATGGAGAGATGTGAGACTTCCATCCTTTCTTCAGTCTTATTAGGTTCTGATCCAAGATATTTGGAAAGAATCCCCCCCTGAGGGGACTCCAGATCAGTTGGTAGCTGTGTGACCTCAACAGGAAGTTCCCACCCAGAGCAAGAAGATTCCTTGGCAGAAGAGTGTAATCGGCCTCTCAGGGACTAAAATGTGTTTACTCTTCTAGATTGACATTGTATTTACTCTTGCAGTGTTGGGGTCTACTTACTACACCTCTGAGTTCAAAGGTGTTGCTTTCTGCTATATTTATTTAGATGCCTTAAGCTGCAAAAGCCCTTGGCCCTTAGATACAACACAGACATTCCATTGTGAGGAGAAGTTCAGGGTTCATTTGGGCTGTGACGAGCTTGCAGTGCCAGAAGTCCAGTTTAACACTTTGATTTTCCAGGCTGTACCCACGCCACGCAAGTGCCCTGAACAACCTGGGGACGCTGACAAAGGACACTGCCGAAGCGAAGCTGTACTACCAGAGGGCCCTGCAGCTGCATCCGCAGCACAACCGTGCCCTTTTCAACCTGGGCAATCTCCTGAAGTAAGTGGACGGCTTCTGCTGGGATCAGTCCAGAGACTGTCACAGGGAACCTGAAGGGTTGCATAGCCACGAAAACTGAGCAGGTGCTGTGCTCCAAAGACCTTTCCTGTGCTTCTGGTCCCTTGTGAGTCTTTATGAAGGACTCCACGGGGTACAGCCATTCCAAGACTAACATTCCATAATATACTTCCAAGAAAGCAGTGTTCTCTGAGGGTAAAGAGAAGGGCCTCCTGTCCAGGATTCATGCTCAGCTTGGATTAACGTTAAAAAAAAAACAAAACAAGCAAACAAATAACAAAAACAGCAAAAGCCAGGCTTGTTTGGAATTAGAATAATTCTCAGGAGGGATGACAAAGATGGCTTAATGGTTATGAGCAAGTAGTGCTCTCGCAGAGGACCGGAGTTCAGTTCCCAGCACCCCTTTGGGCAGCTCAAAGCTGCCTGTAACCCCAGGTCCAGAGAATCTGATGCCCTCTTCTGGGTACCCACACATGTGCGAGAATACTCATACAGATACATACACATAAATAAAAATAAATTTTTAAAAAATGAAAATTAAAAGGCGTGAGAAGGGTGAGTTCAAGTTGTCGTGACAGCTGGCCAGCTGCAGACTGCTCTCCACTCCACCTCTGTGGACACCGTGTCTTCGTGTGAAGTTGTGAGGACTCGGGTTTGCACGTCACTGGAGTGGCTCTGTGTGCTTTGTTTATGGCTCAGATGAGGGGGTGGAAAATCCCACAGAATCTCCTTAGATAGATGGCTTCTCTAGCACTAGTTTCAGAGATCTTTTCAATGAGTTGGGTTTTGTTTTTTCCCAAGAAGCCAAGCTGAGTTGCTGGCTGCAGAGTGAAACACCTTGTCAGGAATTGTTCCTAGTTCTTGTCCCTAGTTCTGTTCTCAAACCGTATAGCACAGCTCTATGACAAGGGTTCTGTCCTCTTTCCTCCTTCTTGGAACCAAGCTGAGGATGTTAATCCCAGCCCTTCTTCCATCCAGTCTGTCTCCACGGACCTCCTCGGTGATTATATCTGAGTTAACACCACAGGAAAGAACGCTTTAGAACTGGTAATGGGTGCTTTCCAGCGAGAGGGGCTACTGACTTGCCGCCGTGAGGCTTTCCCCAGCTCGGTAAAGTCAGTTTTCACCAAGCTCAATAGTATGGCTTTACATCTGTGTAAGACTGGAGGTTTCTGGGGACCTTTCATGTCCCATGGGGCTCTTCCAGTGAGACTTCAGTGTGAGTGGGAAGAGGAAATGGGATCCTAAGTGCCACGCATAGGGAGAAGCCGCCGTGTCTCAGTGTGAGTCCCAGAGTCCAGTGGGTGAAGTGACGTTAATAGCTAACATTTGTGTAGTACTTTCTGACCAACAAGTTATAGGTATACAACATACTTGTAGTGCTTGTGTGTGTGTATATAGCTGCACTCTGTAATTCTGTGCTGAGAGGTGTGGCCATCTTCATCTCCTCTCACGGGTAGGGAACCCAAGGCTCCTCCAAGAGCTTTGTGACCCTGACCTAGGCTTGTGACTGACCCAGGATGGAAGTCTGCCTTTTGTTTATTCTAAATAGTCCCCCAGCCACAGATTACATGATATCAAGCTGTGTAAGAGCTTGCCCTGGCCTTGTGGAGACCTCCTAATAGGCTTTCTGAAGGAAGCAGCTCAGTTTGCTCTCATTACACAGAGGTTGCTTGCTAAGTGGCAGAGGAAGGAGATGCAGAAAACCGCAGGGCTACTCTGCATTTCGGTGGCTGGGAGCTAACCTCTGCTTCCCCGATGGGTTTCTGGGCCAGTAGTAATGAGCTGAAATCAAGAGAAGGGTAAGAAGGTTGCAAATACGGGGAAAGTGCCCAGATCTACAGTTTTTTTCATCCATACCCTAGTTCTCCCTCGAGTCAGCTTTTGAGTTACTGCAGTTGGTTTTATAAAACCATGCCTCCTTCTGTAGTGTAGAACACAGTTTGCCTACGAGCAGCCCAGGTCTGACCATGCCTAAGAGGCAGCCACTCCCCATTCCTAGTTAATAAATGAGCATTCTAAAGTTTGCACCAGAGAAACCTTAGTACTTTTAACTCAGCCCTGACCACTGCCTCCTAGTGGCCCACATGGGAAGTGTCAGCCAGCTGAGACATGGCCACGAGCTACTGTGTGAAAACTGCGCATCCAACTCAGGAAGTCATATTTTAAAACATAAAGTGAACTTTAATCATATATTTAATTAAACCCTAATATGTCTAAATTATTATTTTAGTGCATGATTAATATTTTATGATGGTTTAAATTTTTAGTATAAAACATTGAAGATATGAATGAGATGACTTGCGTCCTTACACTTAATCTGTGAAATCTAATACATATTTGACACTCACAGCCCATCTCTGAGCGGCTATACTTCAAATATGCAATAACCACACTTGGGGATGATTTCTGTCTTGGCCCCCACTGCCTTTTCTAATAACCTTGACTTTGAAGGAAACACAGGTCCTTTGTCCAGGCCTGAAAGTCTAAACATGAGAAGTCCCTCTGTCAGAGAATGCCATCCAGCGCACCGCAAGTTGCTCAGATTCTTGGAATGATTTGACCCCTGCTTCAGCAGTAGCGTCTGAGGGTTACCCACCTGTCTGTGGTCTCATCCGAGCCGTGTCCTGAGCCGTTTGAAGCGTCTCCATTGCGAGTCTGCACAACACATCATGGTGGAAGACTGAGCAGCGACCGTAGTGATCGATGATGGCTTTTCTTGGGACTTAAAATATCAAAAAGGGGAAGAGAAAAAAGACAAGAAAGAAACAAGGAACACTTGTGATTTTTATGGGCAAAGGTTGCAGAAGTCCCCAGTTGTCGAGAGGGCACAACAGCATTTAAAATCAGGGTCTGGGGAAACAGTTATGTGAATGCACAATTAAAACAGATGGTGGTGTTTGCTACTAACATGAAAAATGAAGAAATGTAAGGGCTCACGTCGTACCCCTGCCCATCGCTACAGCTTCCATCCCGTTAGAGGATACGGTGTCTAAACTGTTTCTGTGACTCTGATGGTGAAAATGGCAGAACATACTAGAACACCCAACAATGGGGCTGTGTGATTAACTGAACAGTGGCGTTTTATCTTTTTTAATCAGCTCCTTCAGAATGAAGACCTGCTAAAGACCGTGAAGAAGTAGGCACATTGTTTTATTATTATGTATTATTTTATAGTGTTTGGGCACCCTTCCTCATGCGTCCTCATTGGCCACACAGTGTTTTCACAGAAGGACATCTGTACGCACGAGATGGTAGATCTACTTCACACCTTGGTTTTCTTTGGGGATGGAGTTTCACTCTGTAGCTCAGGGCCTTGAACTCATGGCAGTCCTCCTGCCTCAGACTCCTGGGTGCTGGGATTTCAGCCACAAGCCTTCACCTTTTAACTTCAGCACAAAGCGCCAGTTTAGTGGGTAAAGGTGCACTTTCCCTGGCTGTTGCCACCTTGCGAGCACGCCAGCCGTGAGCGGACACGTTCTGGTTCCAACTCTCGGCCAGAAACTCTCCCCGCACCGCCAAAGTTACCTGTCTGTAGTTCGGTGACTCCTTGATTGAATTATCTCTATGTAGCCCTGATCCCATTATGTCTTTCCCTAACTCATGCCTGCCTTTCTGCAGTAACTCTCCAGCTTCCAGCCCAGCTCCGCATCCTGTGATGTCTTCTGCATCTTCATCTACACTCGTCCAACATCACCGTCTCGAGCACCGGGCCTACCCCCATCCCACCACCACCCCCTGCTCCAAACCTTTGCCGCCATCCATCCATAGCAATCTCCAGTAACCACCAGCTTCCTCACTTTTGTTCATCCATCTCCGCTCCACTTGGGTACTTCCCAACATGGCTGCTGCGACACTGACTTTCTAGGCGTGGGAACGTCTTTATTCCCTAGTTCCTGGATTCTGACCTCCGAGCTTTGGTCTCTTACCTCCGCTTGCTCACTTTTCCTTTCTCCCGCTGTCTTCGCTCCTCCTGACCTTCATGAGTCTCCATCTCCGTGTTGGGTTCTTTCCAAGCCTTTCTGTTACCAGACCTCCTGCAATGAGCGCAGGTCTCTGCTTATCCCACCTTACCGCTGGCCTGCTCATGCCTTGGTTAGATCCCCTCTGTTCAGTCCCTCGTATGACATTGTTTTGCTCCTGTCTCCTTCATCCTCTCATGCACTTTGCGTTGGCACAGAGTCCAAATGTCTCAGCATTCAGGATTTCCTGTCCCTCACACTCATGTCCACTCTCCTGTCCTCAGCAAACCCAGACCCAGCTAATACTGACCAGCGGTCAGTGTGTGAAAGACACCTGGCAGACTACATTGACTGAGGCCCTCAGCAAGACTTAAAGTTAAAGCTTTTGGAGGATTGGTCACTCCCTCGGGGGTGAGGGCTGCTAGGCTGGACGTGGCCTGGCAACGTCCCTGCCTTTCCTGCCTCCTGAGAAGGAGCTGCCAGAACAGCCTGCAGCCTGGTCTAACCCAGTGCGCCTATAACTGCCTGTCAGCCCCGGGGACATAGTGGCGGCAGACATGGGGGAGTGTGATGCACCTACGGGGGTGGGCACAAAACTATTCTAGCCCAATAAAAATGTCCTGTTTCCCCTCCTCTCACAGTCAGTGTCTGTCCCACAGATTTATCTGGGAAATGAAAACTTTTGCTGCTATCCCATAACTGAGAATGAGCGGATCATGACAATACTATTGCGAGCAATGCCTCACAACGATGCTCACACTATGATGCCAGGGTCTTAGCGCCTTCGTGGAGTTCCCTGGCTGTGATAAACACGGTCCAGGCCAGAGCAGAGTTCCACAGGAAGCAGTCTTTTTTTACATTCTCTGGAAGGATTGTCATCAGCTTTCCCTGCACAGATATCTCTAGGAAAAGATAATGCACCAAGCCCAACTGGGTTGCAGTATGAAAAATTTCCACACTAGCCCAGAATGGAGTATCATAAAGGTTTATTTATTAGTGGTTAAACTCACAGAATTTATT